CTAAAAAGATAACAATACAAGCAAAAAATCACCTCATATGCCACACTATACTTCAACCAACCAACAAACACGTTAAACCAAGAATGATTGAATCGACTAGATTCTTTTTCTCCAAATTGTCTTTTCTTAAATTCATGGTTAACGTCTCACAAGGATCATTTTGCATATATGCTCTTCGAACTTGATCTCTAATGTAAGAATTGTAATTCAAGATTGGAGTTCTTAATTCAGGATCGGTGGGAAGTTGTGCAACATCAAAGTCATCTCCATTCGACGTCTCCTCATTAACATTTTCCCCAACCTCAAAAGCTTTTCTTTTATAAAATCTTCTCATAACTGACTGTAATAAATAGTAATTGGAATGTAAATGAACAAAATAGAATATGGAATTGTGATGTGACATCAGATCACCGATGTTCTATCATAAATAGCATTACTCATAGAAATAAGGCTTAATTTTTCAATTAATTTCCTCAATTTCAGACTTCTATATGAGAATATACCAAACATGACTTTCCATAATTTCATTGCTAAGCACGTGCCACAATCAAGGAAACAAAAGGTTTATACTTGGTGTCAAAATTTATTAGCATTACTTGGTTAGTTGGTTTCAAAATTCAACAGCCAACAGGCCTAATTGGCCAACACCTAACAACCAACAGGCCCAACCGGCAACACCCAACACCCAACAGCTAAACTCCAAAGACCAAACACCTAACAGCTAGCACCCATCAGCCAAATTCAATAGCGGACGGCCAGACGCAGATGAACACCCAAGCCCAACAACACTTGTGGTTGCTTGTTATTCCTAGTAGGCAATTGCATACACTCTACAGCCAATAGCAATTAGCAGATGAATACCAATAGAAATTATAGAAAACTCACCTACTGGGGTCTGGGCGCTTGGCTAATGAGTGATGAAAACGGATGAAATCAGTGCAGAACCTGTGCTTAAAGCAACATAAAATGCTGGATGCTGGTGGATGCAGGGGTGTGATCGGTCAGTGGCGGTCCGTTAGTGGAGCTTCACAAAATTCATTGTTTGACTGTATTGGTCTTGGGGGCTTCTATAATACAGATTGGGCCAAATAATAGGCCCACTTTTTTTTTTTTTTTTGTATTGAGTTCATGAAAAAATTGGGGCGGCCAACAGCCCAGTGCAAGCAGATGCCTGCATTGGGCTTTAGTTGGGTCCACCCCTGACTGTATCTGTATGATGTGGAGAAAAAAGGTTTCGCATAGTAGAACCCAAATTTATTGGGGACAATGCCTTGCATGTTGTTGTTGTTATCCAATTATATATGCTTAGTTGAAAAGAAAAGCAAAAGGTAACCATTTTCATGTTTTATGTGGTGATACTTGTGTTTCTATGCAAGTGTTTTAGACTTTCTGCAGTCTTATTACATCAACTATTAGTTTGTGATGCTGAAAGTTTGTTCATTCTCCTTGTCGATACTCGTCTCTTTTACAAGTGCATTTATGCCGACAATCTTAGTGTTGCATACAAATAACTATGATAATTTATCTTTTTGTTTTTCACTCTTCATACGATGTTCAAATAATAGTCAAATTCTGTTGATTCGACGTGGAAATGCATAATCACATTTTAGAATCAAGGATTTGTTCACTAAATTGGACAAATCAAAATTATACCTGACCTTTGCCATGGGAAAAAAATTGAACATCTCAAACTGTTTAGGGATCCTTTACATCTTAATATACAGAGCGAACTTAACAACTTAATGAAGTCCATTTGCAAATTCTGTCAAAAGGTAACACTACATTTGGATACATTTTTTTCATCTTATTGTTAATATAGTGTCCCATTAGATCCTCTTGCACTTCATTGTTCTTGTCTCCTTAACTGATAGAGACTAGACACCACAATTGGTATTTTAAAATTTATTATTAGATCCTTATTGTTAGCACTATGTGGGTCAGATTTTTTTCTTTTAAACCTTTAATGTAGATTCTGTTATCTTGATTATTTACTGTGCTGCTCATTCTGAATCTTATGTTGGCAACAAATTGTTCATGGCATGTAGGTTGATTCTTATGATAGAGAGTCCAAGAATACGATTATGAATTCAGCCCGAAGTGCAAAAAGTTCGGATCTAACCCTTCAAATACCTCCGAGGCCTGGGGGTTTCGGGAGGAGCTTTAGCAGCAAAGGTTTACTCCAGTCTCCAAGTGTCTTAAATGGGAATTCTTCAAGTGGAGGCTTTCTTCGGGCTCTAAGCTTTAAGAAAAGGGTCACTGCATCAGATGGTGAAAGAAGCTCTCTCCTTAGTTCAGATCCAAAGGCTGAAAGCCCGGTTTTTGCCAATCTCATGCCTAACTTTAATTGGAAAAGGTGTACTTCCCTTCCTGTCACTCCTGCAACGATCCTGTCACCTCCAGTTATTACGCCTACGTCGGCAAGGACTCTTAGTGAAAGACAAAAGTCTTCCGTAAGTTAGTGCCTGAACTCCAACTTTAACTATTAGCAATTATATATCTCATTTTTGGATGCTATAAATTCTCACTTAGAAATTTGCTTCAAATCTGTAATATATTAATCCCATGTTTGGCTTGGATAAAAATCAGTTTTTTAGTAGATTTTGATAAAAGTTGATGGATGTGTGATTGAAAAGTTGTGGGTCCAGGAAATGTATGGTTATAATTAATTGTTGACTTTGACTTAGATTATAATTCAAATTTTAAGCTGAACAAAGCAGAGGCTAAGTAACACAAGTCGATAATCATTTTTTGATCAATTTTATCCAAGTTATATTTTGACTATTTCAATAATACCCTTTTGAGCTATAACTTATTCATTTATTATATTATTAATTTATTAATTTATTTCTTCTTCTTTATGTTCATTAAAAATTATCAGCATCACCATATTTAATTGATTCATTGGTACATTTTGTCAGTTGAATTGCCTGTTTGCATTTTCATGATTTATGCTAGTTCAATATCAATGAGGAGATTTCACGAAAGAGAATCAATACCCTACCCCTTCCTAGATCTCCCTCTCTCACACGTATGTGCTCCAGTTCCTAGTTGAGTTGAGAATCCTTGATCCAAACCTCTTGTGTATGAGGGGTACTCACGGGTACTTGCCTAGGTCTGCAATGAAAGGAATTTGATATCTAGCACTCATCTCTCGAGCTATAATGGAAGTTGGGTGAAACAAACAATTTTCTAAACATCTTCACGGAGATTTAGTCAGTAGATTTGGCACCCAATAGAGAAGGGGACGCTTTCTCTTGTGTGTACGAATCGAGAAAATGATAATTGTTTGGTCCCATCTGCGACGACAATGAAATATGATACAATTACATGATTGGTTGTTATAGGAAGAAAGAGATAGGATGATTGATGTCTACTCTCTCATAAGTGAGATCTAGGGTCCGAATCCTTAGCTATCTATGGTGTAAAAAGATGCCCTGGTATCGAGCTTACCTTATAGGAAGAAAGAGATAGGATGATTGATGTCTACTCTCTCATAAGTGAGTACTGGGGTCCGAATCCTTAACTATCAATGGTGTAAAAAGATGCTCTCAGTTTTTATATGTCTGTTGGCTCTACCTTTTTTCAAAAATATGTATGATTTTAATATCTTTATGGTATGAACTTTATTGTATTTTTTTTGCACTGACAATTCATTTTCCCCTTAATGAGTTCTCGATGAATTATATCTTTCTTTTTTCCATTAGATCTAGAAATGTACTGTCACTGTCATTTTATATTTTTGTGCCTGCGTGTATATTTGTTTTTAATCTCATCTGATTGAAATAATTAAAGGATAAGAAATTGGATCTAATGGATTAACATCTAGAATTCAACTTCAACAAATCGAATCAATTTTTAAGTGGCTAGCAGTAAAGAATTCTCTTAAATTGTGCATATTTATGCTATTATAAATATTTTTTCGAGCATTATCCATTAATGGTGTTGCCTGTGATATTAACTTTTATCTCATATTTTATATTTGATTCGAAAAAGAAATGTATTTGCTTTCGACGTTCCAACGGATCTGACAATGACTAAACATACTGGTGGAAAATGGTTTATGTAGTAGATTACAGTTTTATTAGAAACAAGGCTTAGTTTATTGTTCTGTATGTGCTTAGGATACCAAATATACGAAGCTTAAGGTAGAGTGTCTCCCGAAGGTTTCTTTAATGAAATATGGAGACATTGTATTTTCTTTCACTAATTACATATAGAAAGTTAGCAAGGAGTTGTGCATTGAGTATTCATCATCAACTACAAAACTTTAACATATTTCAACTTTTAGCTACCTACTTTTCAATTAGCTTTGTACATCAAAACAAACGAAAGGATCTAAATACCAGTTTTTATATATACTTTACCTGATCTCTTTTCCGATGAAAGTTTAAAATTGTCATTTGATCGAAACTATGTTGGAAGGAATGGAGGATTGAATGTATTAGGTATTAAGCTAAACAGGGTATAAATAAACTGTAAGGAAGCAAGACTGCAATATTCTAAGCTTTGGCCTGGCAGAATGAAGCTAACAATGATAGAGTTCAGATATTCATAGAAACTTGGACTCCATGCCAGTGTCAGATTGTGGTTTTCCGGAGTTGGATAATAATGCTTGGTATTTGACTATTTTGAATTGAATCAAATATTCTAAAATTTATTCATTAAGCATGTGGATCTTTAGTTAGGTCATTATCTGACAAGTGTAAAGTGGTTGAACCAGCTTTATTACTAAACGAAATAATTTTAATAATTCTTAGTCTTTTCCAATCAAATGTTTCTCAAATTCTAAAATATGAAGTAATCTTTTTCAGCAATACAAATTACATTTCCAAACTTTTCGTTTGACTATGATTTTATTGTGTTTATATTGCTTATTCTTACTGTTGACTCCAACATCTTAAAATAGCATTATAGGACTTCAAAAAAATCTCAAAATAATGTGCAACACATGTTTACACTGACTAGTATTTTTAAAAAGACTGGTTTCATACTTTCATACACATTATAATTCTGCAGCATGCATGCTTTATGCTTAACCACGCTTTTGAATTTAAAGCGGAACATGGAAAAACTTGATACTTTTGTATATAGCTTTGTTTTTCTGTTTGATTTATTTTCCTATTCATTTTAGTTAATATGTATTTCAGTAATGTTTAATGAATGTCCTGTTATTACTTGTGACCTATGCCCCAAACAGGAACTTCCAGAATAAATTTTCCTTACAATAGTTATATTTAATATTTATTGATTTGTGTTTTCTTCATGTTGGCTTTGTTAGGAAACATTTGGGCCGAACTTTTTCAAATAAGAAGCTTCAGATTTCTCACAGTAACCAAGTGATCCAAACTTGTTCTGTTTTGTAAACAGTTTGTTATAATTTAAGTTATACTAGCTGGTTTATATGGGCAAAAAGTTCGATAGTTTCTTCTGTGTCAAAGTTAGAGATAAAAATCCTTGATCAAGCTAAAACATCTTAGTGGTTTTAACAAAATTTGAAACAATTAGCTAATGAGGGGAAAAAATTGGATACAATTTAGTGATTTACTAATGAATAAAATAAAAATCCTTCGAAAGATTGAGAAATTGTTCCATGATAAGGTGAATATGATATGTGTTTTCTGTGAGGAATAATAAAACTACTCGTTATATTTAAGCTATTAGATATACCCTAAAGGACCTAAACGTTGTTTTGTTGTTTTCAATCATAAACTTCCCTTCGTTCTTAAGTACTGTTTTTACCTGTAATATGATTCTATTACTTACGACTTCTTAGGATAACATTTTCATAGCTGTCTTCTCACCTTTCGATGTTTATTTGTCATTTTTATGAAATTTCTTTGGGATATCACAGTTGTAGTGAAAAATATATCCATCTGTGCCATCTTTATGATTGGTTTGAATCAGTTCTGTCATTGCATTATCGGATCCTCAATCTCTAAAAGCTAATTACCTTTATCATATATTTGTGTAATATATCCCTTGCGGCCATGCCTTTAAATTCATAGTCGTGGTAGTGAAAAAGAGAAGGGGGAATTATTAGTAATATATGCTTAGAGATGCAGCACATAGGGAGCCGTGAGAAAGTGCAACACATGGAGAAGATGAGATTCAGTAATCTAATTTTATATATACTTATTGCAGATAAGTGCTTCGCAGACTGTTTCGAGGTCCCTCTCAGTGCCTGGGAGGAATTTCATTATTGTAAGGTCATCATCTTTTGCTGCTCGTGAAAATCATGCTCCAGATGCTGGCAGCGGTATGTCACATGCATATGGATTTGGTGATCTGGTTTCCTCTTCATCTCTCTTTGATCACTGGTCAAACTCTTATGGAAATACTCTGTAACTTGACTGATTCACTTCATTATCCTAATTGGCATTTCCCTAATTCTAATCAGAAAAATATATCTGAATGATAGTTTGTGCTAGTTGTTAGTCTTACTTCATGTTTTTTATTTTTATATATATGTCAACACTACAGTAAGAAAGAAAGTACATTGAGATTACGAAGTCCCTTAGTTGAACTATAAAGAAAGAGAGGCTAAGGTTACGAAGTAAGGTCAGCTGGTTAAGGAAAGATCAGCTTATGAAATCGCTTAGCCGTTAAGTTAATTAATTAAGTAGTAGTGAGGCGTCGGTACTCTTAGTTGAACTATAAAGAAAGAGAGGCTAAGGTTACGAAGTAAGGTCATCTAGTTAAGGAAAGCCCAGCTTATGAAATTGCTACCCGTAAGATAATTAATTAAGTAGTAGTGAGGCATTAGTACGGAGTTGTGTCAGCTGTGGATATAGGCTAGGCTAAGTGATAGACTTCATCTCTTCTATATTTGTGTTTGTGTGCGTGCGGAGGCTCTAAGGGTATACTAAGCCAAGGTTTTTGAAGGTTTTGATATGCTGGATCGAGTATATGTTGTCACCTAGGCCTGCATTTTCTATAGCAATGTAAACTGCAATTGGATAACTTGCTATTTTCTTACTTCTAAGAGAGAAAAGTTACTTTGTCGACTATTACTCTTACAAGTTACTTATAGAAAAATGGTATTGACTTTGACCAACTTGACCAATAAAAAAGGTAGATTTATGTTGAAACAAACTCAGTTACTTATAAAGTGAACTTTAAAGTTTAGACAAACATGATTTTATTCTTGAAAACCAATGTTATTGACTTGTAAATAATATGAAACTAGATATAAGTCTAAAATAGCTTGTTATAATTTTGAATAATTGGATTTTCATAAATTTTATCTTGTTACATTTGCTTTGTGGCATATTAGATCAAATAACTCCTGATCCTGCCCATGAGGATCAAGAGATTCCTGAAGAAGAAGCTGTCTGCAGGATCTGTCTCGATACCTGTGACGAAAGAAATACACTCAAGATGGAATGCAGTTGTAAAGGTGCACTCCGACTCGTACATGAAGATTGTGCAATCAAATGGTTTAGCATCAAAGGAAACAAATTATGTGACGTATGTGGAAAAGAAGTTTCAAATTTACCGGTGACTTTGCTTAGGGTACCAAATGCTACCCAAAGAGATATAAGGGAGCAGAACCAACAAGGTCTGAATGCGATAAGGTGATTTTTTTTTTTTTAATTTTCTTTGATTTTTATTCAACATCCGAATTTATTGATTTTTCTGTTGTACTGTGCTAAAATTATTCATTTAGCCTTTTCTCCATCTAAATCATTAAGACGATCTCTACCCTCTATCTCGCACTAAAAATTAGGTTTTGAAAATTGGGGATATTAAAATTAGGGTTGATTTCAATTGCATATCCTAAATTCAATTTTTTGAAAAATTTGTAAATAGAAAAGCTAACCAAGAGCCTCCCAAAGTAGGTAAAAAAGGACTCACCGAGCTTCTGCTCGTCAATAACAGGTTGCACAACTCTCTATTCCGGTGACCTAGGATCGATGCCTCTTCTTTTGTGCAAGTGTGGCCTAGGAGACCTCTCTTACTTGTTCGCGAGGCTCCCACAATGAGCACGGGTCTTGTGGTTTTTTGAGGTGTGTGAGGCTTCAGCTTATGAGCGTGTTCGGTAGAGATTAAAATCGGATTAAAATTGAAACAATAACCATTATTGTTGACTTTTATTAGACGAGTGAGACCCAATAATGGTTATATTTTCAATTTTAATTGGATTTTAAGGTGTACCAAACATGCTCTATATCTCTATTACAAACTTGAGATTATCGGGCCTTATTCTCCTTGACCCGAAACTCCGGCCAGTCAAACATCCGACGATTCTCCTTAGGGTGGCCTATTTGGATACTGGTTGGACTTAGATCTTTGTTAGGTTTTGTATTTGGGCTACTTGGGTTTCCTCTTTGAATTGGACTCTCTCAGGTTTTTCTTTTTGTGCAAGTTAGTCCCTGAGGTTTTAGAATCTTGCATACCAGTCCTAGAATTTCAGTTTTTTGAATATTGGTCCTTAAACTTTCAATTGGAGAAAGTTAGCCCTTTCTGGTGCCCTATAGGGGTAATTGTGTTCTTACTGTTGTCAGATACCCTTCAGCGACCTTTTTCAGAGTTGCACGACCTGTAATCTTAAGCTTTAGAGGTCTGACACGTTGAGGATCTTCCTAAGTTGATCTTCTTTGATTCTTCATTATGTTGCCGCCAATAGGCCTAATAAAGGTGATATGATCATTTCTAACAACAAATGTGTTTCTTCTTGTCTGACTATTCACAACACTACTTCACCTATTCATATTAAATTGGATGGTACTTACTGTCGTGTGTGGTCTGAATTCTGGAGATGCATATTATTGGTTGAAACAAAAATGGCTATTTCAAAGGACAAAAGGTTGTATTGCTCGGGAATGATTCGAGTTATGATGAATGGAAGGCTGAAGATTCTTTAGTCAAGTCTTGACGGGATGCACTAAAAGGGAGCTATCTTGATTTTTGACTCTTCACTGTCATCGTTCCAATCATGTCAAGATGGTCGCCTTCTTGCTCAATATTATAATGAACTTAACTCCATATTCATTTAACATATTATCGGAGGCCTAATGATATGACTTGTGCAGCTGATATTGAGAAACAGAGAAAGCGTATTGTTGAGGATCTGGTATATATGTTTCTTGCATGTCTTGATCACAACTTGGATCAAGTTACTAGTCGTGTTTTGGCTACCTCCCTGTCCCTTTCCCAAGTTTGGAAGAGACCTTACTAGTACGTCGTGAAGTACTTATACAAGTTACTATGGTTATAGAGGTTGTCTATTATGCTTCAGCTTTGGCTATCTAGAAGAATAACTCACGACTAGCTACTTCAGCCCCTTCTACGTGGCCCTGCACCCATTGTCATGACACTTCACATACAGTTGATGTTTACTGGGAACTTCATAGTTACCTGGAGTGGTTAAAAAATGAACAAGTTGAAAAGAAGAAGAAATCTAGTCAGGTTGCTACCGCTGATGCCACTTTGTCCTCTGCTTCTCATGAAGTAAACTTTCATGTAGGACATTCCAACCAAGATGACTATTTGAATTGGTAGAGAACGGGATGCTTTTACTACTTGGAGTTGCAATCAGAGTTGAGCGACAGTTTTCAATTGGAATAGAATAGTTAGAATAGGAAGTATTTATTTCCTTGTATCTTATATCTTAGTCTAGTAAGAATTAATATTTTAACTTATAGTAATAGGATTTTATCATCTCTCCTTTTTCTTTTTCTTTTTCTTCTACTGATATAAGATTGTACTCATATATATGAGATTGATTGAGCATGTAATAATTCATTCAGCCTAAATTCTAAGTATGTGTTGTCTGGAATATGTTTTTGTCATTGGTCCAATCAAAAAGAACGAAAAGTGAAATAAATAAATAAATAAATAAAAATACTGGTTCGACCTTTAGTTCATCCCCTTGGAATCTGAAAAGTTTATTTGGCTTATATAGTTTATTCTATACATTTATCTTGCTTTTATCATGTATCTCGGGACATTGGTAAAAAGTTGTTTGCTTGAATTCATTTCATTTCTGGGTCATCTACAGTCAGCTGTGAGAAAGAGGCATTGGAAGTCTGATACCAATGCTTTATATTGTTGCTTTCTATTCTATTTATCTCGTACTGAGATCTCAATAATCGCATCACTGCTGTCGTAAGAATTGAAGTATCAGGTTGAGAGTAGACTAGAAATCTGATAGTGCTCCGTGTTTCAACTCTCGTGGCTTTCTTTATTTTTTCTCTTTTGCATTTCTTTTCTTCAAATGTTTAAATTGAACATACAAATATAGTTTTTTGCATGTTTTTCCAGCACTTGGCAAGACTTTGTGGTGCTCGTCTTGATAAGCACAATTTGCTATTTCTTCTTCCTTGAGCAGCTACTGGTAAGTTTTCAGGCAATGGATTACTAGTAACTTGGTTCATCTTTTATATGGTTACATTTTTCAGACAACTTTATCGTTTTATTTGTGTCCTTTCATTTGCAGATTGACGAGATGAAAAATCAGGCACTTATCATTGCTGCACCGTTCTCTTTTACTATAGCTCTTACAGCCTCTATTTTTGCAGTTATCTTAGGTATGACATAGCTCCAGACGACATGTTTAGTACATGGTAGTGGACAGTATTGCTCACAGTAACATACAAGATTAGGTCGTTTTTATTCTTTACTCCATCCAGCATTGTCCAGGCTAGCATGATAAACATTAAAATTTAAAGTGATTCATACTTGATGCTATTGTCTTACAATGAGTTTGTTAATATGCAGCAATTAAAGAGTACATATGGACTTATGCAGCTCTTGAGTTTGCACTTGTGGCCATGACTCTCCATCTTCTCTATGCAGTGGTGAGATGCTCCTAAATACTACTCTAATAAAATATTGTCACCTTCTGTCTAATTGCTCTAGCATAATTTACTCATTTGAAAAATCAAACGATCTTCCGTTTTTATTCATTTGAGTAATGCTATTCTTGATTAGTTGTGATCATCAGGTGGCAATGGGCCCCCGATTCATTGTCCAATGGAGTTGTGATGCATTTGAATAATTGGATAAAATTTTTAGGGGGCCACGGCTACCTGGACCGGTGATGAGCACAACTAATGAGGAATAGCTTTGTTTTTCTATTTTATTATAGGCATTAACCTATCCAAACATGTTTCTGGAAAAGAAAATTAATTAAAAGTTTTGACTGTAAGTTTTAACCTTTCCAAACATTATGTAAAATCATTCTTTTAGCTCACATGAAACTATTTTAGGAATGCTGGCCTAGCATGTGGGACTAAAATCATCTGGGCCCAGCATGGCCTGGGTTGTGATGGGTTGCCCGGCTTTAACCTTTTTTTTTATACCTACGCTGGCCCTGCTCCTGAGCGGTCTGACTTAACCCCCTACTCACGAACCTCTTGAGTAGTCTGGCAATGTTTGTCTTCTGAGTGCGTGTTTTGAAAGCCAAGCCTTTCTCTGACCGTTATTGCTTAACTGAAAATATTCCCATTCGGTTTGATCTTGCAGCTTCATTTACCACCTGTTTATGCGATCCTGCTATCGTCTGTCTTTGGATTTGGAGTGGCTATGAGTCTCAACTCTTTGTATATTCGTTACTTTTCCTGGCGGGTTCAAGTTGCTGAAAACTCTAACCTGGTATAATTTTATACCAGAGAGAGATAAGATTGGTTGGATATGGACTAGTAGCAGGAAGTATTAGTTGCTCGACTGCAAAGATACAGAAACTGAGATGCATATTTAATAAGCTTTGCCTAATGTCAATTTGTTAGAATCATCCAAGGGCTGGAGCGGAAGTTCAAATCGGCTCATTGATGAAAAGAGACTGACTGTTTTGTTTATGGAGAGATCTTGCCAACAGTTGCAATGTGAAGATGGTATTCAGCCGGCTAATGGAGATTACATTATTGACAGTAATAGTAATATTATCAGTAGCAGGTGCTGTTTATTTTGTCATGAGTTGAATTGCGACGTGTAATGCTTTGGCCTTTTGGCTCGTTGTGGAGTTGATATGTTGTAGAGACGTGTGTGGAGCAATCCTTTTTCTGTAGCATGAATTGATCCTTCTCGAAATCATGTAGATCTCCCCTTTTAGATTTAGCTCTTTACTGTGCATTTGTGTGTGTGTGTGTGTATTTTTTTTTTTCCATCTTTGAATCTGTATTGTCTATTTCAAATTTATGTACCAAATAAGTACAAATTTCCTGTAGTTGTAGACTGATTCAAAAATTTATGCTCAACAAGAAGTGAAATTGTGGCACACTTGCTAAGGCGATTCTCATAAGTTCGAATGCTCAACTCCTTATATTTGGGTCCTTGTATTCATCTATGCTCACCAAATTGCCTATAACATAATTCTCAGGAGTTGGAGTGAAGCCAAAACTTGAATTTTCACATCCTCAATACTTAAAAACTCAGTCAAACTTGTTTTCAGATCATCCATGGAAAGATCACTTGCACAGTAATGAGCTGAATCAGGTGGATCCGTTGATTCACTAATGCTGGTTATATCTGAGAACTCGGCGTATCATGAAGAACACAAACATCCAAATGTTGCATTTCTCAACCTGTGACACTATAACGTGACCATTTTTGTGTGTATGCTAAATCGGATAAGTCAATAACTCAACAACTAGCTATATTGATTCTCATTAAACACTCAAAATATATAATTCATTGCACCATTGCACTCCCGGGGCTATCAGTCTATAACATCAGGTTCGACTAATAAATTGTCACTCGGCAACATGATGTTACTATAATAGCAATATTAACTATAAAGTGTAATTGCAAAAGATTTAAGAAAACCAAAGATTGGAGACAAACGAGCATTAAACATTATTCGAAAACAGCCATAAAAATTCTACTCACACTAGTAACGTGTCAAACCTGCAAAATTCATTCTCCTATGTATTAAGAAACTAGATTCAAGATTTCACAACCTGAATTGTCATTTAAAACACCTGAATCGACAAAAGAGATAGTACCACTCGGCAATATGATTACATTTACATTGAACCGTTTTCCAAAACAAAAAAATGATGTTGCATGCAAGTGAACATAACAAAACACTGGACATAAAAGTACAAATTGACCTTAACAAAACAATGTAAGACAAAAAAATGTAATCCTAATCAGCATACAAAAAAACCTCACACCAAATAGCCTATCATTATCTAACTTCATTCTGCAATCCCTACTCGATCACTAGCAGGGTTCAACTTCCTATCCCGCCCACCCAACGAGGTACAAGGTCAAAATCAATATCGTATGCTTCAATCATCTTCTCGCATCCGTGTTTGAATAGATGAGAGGCCAAGTCAAATCAAGCTTTGATCGGATCAAATTTCTTGCCCATTCCATCCAATTTCCCATTAACAATGTGCTAAACATACTCCGTCACAAATAACCCACAATCATGATTGCAATTCACAAGAAAAAAGTATATATCATTAAAACTGTAAACTGGTTCATACTCATATTTTAACGAGCTAATACAACACATCAAGAGGCTCCAAAGATGTGGTGTAATATCCGGTAGTGTTCTTTGGGATTTGTTAGAAATGTATGGTTGGGGATTAATTGCTCTTTAATTGTAAAAGAATAATGTTATGAGAAAATTACCTGATACCCTTTTTTTCAAAATTTCATTTCAAAAATAAGGTGGTAAAGTTTA